GGCCACCTCAGCCCCGCCCCGCGGCCCCACTCACTGTTCTTGAGGAAACGCTCCTCGTGCAGCACGGCGATGGCATTGACGCAGAGCAGGGCAGCCTGCAGCAGCGAGTACAGGGTAAAGGCCATGGTCGCCGGGAACCACCCGGAGTCCCAGCTAATTTGCCCACAGCCGTCGCGGGGAACGTGGCGCCGCCACTGCCGGTGCTCTTCTACGGCGGCCGGCAAGGCCCCAAACGCCCTTTCCGAGAAGCTCCGCCCCCCAGCTGGCTAAGACCCGCCCCCGCGCTTACGTCAGCGAGGTCCGTCTGCTTAGCAGTCTAGACCTGAGCTGTGCTGTGCAAGCTGTTGTGAAACGCCTGAGCTGGGGCTGGTCCCAATTGTGGTGTTGTAAGTGTAAGTTACAGGATTTCAAAGATTTAGGACGAAGACAAGATAGCAAAAATCTGCCAATAGTTTAAAAATGTTGATTACATGTTGAGATATTTTTAATATATTAGGTAAATAAATCAAATTTACATTAATTTTGTTTATTTCTACTTTTAAAAAAAATGTAGCTGTGAGGACACTGATAATGACATATGAGGCTTGAATTATATTTCTATTGGACAGTACTGTACTAGATGCTCCCAAGAGTTATATGAGATTTTAATATTCCTATTTTACAGATGAAGAAATGGAGGCTTTGGCAAATAATTTTTTAAAAAATTAGAATAAAATAACATGTCTTAAAATCACTCAGTGAGAAACATTCTCTGCTTGATCAAACTCTAACCAGGCTGTTCTGAGCTGTCCACTAGGCCTCAACCTTGGCCTATAAAAACTAGGGATTCTCAACACAGAATTTCACCCACTTCCCTACCCCCTCATTAAAACACCTAAAAAACAAAAACATTGACATAGTTTCTTACAGCTCAAGGCCTTATTCCTGGGATGACCACTTAAAGTGCCTGCCTGAGGGAGCTAAAGGCTGCAAAAAATAAAAATAAAAAAATGTCCTTTGTTCTAGCCAACAGCTGCAAATGAGGCCCGGACCCACCCTGAATTACCACACCTACCTAAAAGGCTTACAATTGTGAATCCTTCCTTTGCCCTTTTGAGATGTCTATGAATCTCCCACAATTCAAGAGTGTCTTCCTTAAGGACTCAAAGGCCCTACTTTACAACGTAAACCTCAGGAATCCTATCCTAGGGCCTCTGTCTCCCAGTCTCTGTGGGACTGCAGGATCCTAACTGATATTTCCAACTAACAGACAGCTGGCCTGATCAACATTTACACTGACTGCACTTAGTATTTTTCACATTCCTGATTCTTCTGAGCCTCTGCTCTCCTCCCTCATTCACGCTTTAAAATGCTCCGTCGCCTCTGTACAAATTGAAGTTGAGTTTAGTTCACACTTGACCCTCTTCCCTGTTCCAATAGCATATTACTGATATACGGTCTTTACCATTCTACTTGGTGTCAGCTTTGTTTACCTTTGATAGCAGCAGTAAGAGGTTTAATCTGATGGTGTTAAATTTTAAATATTGTTTGAGGGCAAGTGCAGTATGCAAAGTAATCATCTCCTAAACTTCTCAGGGTCCCCTAAAATGGAAAAGGGAAAAGCCTCGGCAAGAGGCAGTAGCCAAAACAAGAGAGAGAAGAATTAAACTCCCAAGAAAAAATTAAGTTTAAATAAGCCAACTACTTAGTGCCTATAGGGAAGAAGAGATGTGTCCTTTCCCACAGAGGTACATAAACACTGTCCCCAAAATCGGCCCCAAGTGCAAACCAGGTAGGGAGAGATCCAGGAAGATAAGTAAAGGGAATAAACAAAATAACAGGATACCAACAAATACTCCAGTTTTTCAAGGCCCACAAAACTCTAGACACTGGTGATAGTGATAGAGAAGGAAGGTTGCTCCTGTAAGTGGACAGTGAGCACTCCAGGATTTCTTCACCGGGCTGGGCGTGGGGAGGAAGCACCTACGAGGCCTTGTTTGGAAGCTTTGGTTGATCAGTAAATTGTTTTTTACTAGATCTTAAATTTACTGAGGGGAAGGGGTAAAGGGGGATGACTGGAGATTATGGAGATGGATGAAGTGGATGTGGGACTAAAGCCTCCCACAGTTATCCCTTTGTGTCACCTGCCACTGGGTTACAACTCACTTGATGCAGTTCTTTTATTGTCAAAAGAATCTGGTTCACCTCTCTGGGCCACTGTTACTTTATCTATAAAATTAGGTGATTATGATTTCTAAGGCTTCTTCAGCCCCCAAAATCTCTAGATCTAGCAGAAGCAGCTTAAAATATAAGATAGTGCAAGTACTAGTATCATGTTATCTAATTCATTATTTTTCAAAAACCAGGCTTGCAGCCTAAGCTGATAACAGCAGATTATATCCTTAAAAAGAATTATTCTTCTGATGTTCTTACTTCCGAAGATATTCAAAAGCCTAAAATTTTTAAATATATTTATAAAATAGTTTTCTTAGTTTTTGTGTGTGTTTTTTTAATCTGCTCCCAAACAAAGAAGAGGTTAAAATGCATATTCTGCATTTTAGCAGCTTGGGGGGAGGGAGGGGAAGAGTGGCTATGGCCTATTTAAAATTAGAACTTGCTGCTAGGTGCTGAGCTTCTGATTCATGTTCATTCATTCATATTATATATCTTATCAGACACTGCTGTAGAGGATGATACTTTCTTCAATTTCAAACACAGATGTGTCCTTATTGAAAGGTGAAGGTCGGTGGTGCACAGACAGGCTAAATAGCCATCTCAGAGGGTGAATAAAGAAAAATTAAATTTATTTAAGAAAAGGGGATGGGGGGATGGAGATATCAAAAGGAAAGTCTACACAGCACTGAGTCAGAGGGTATTTATTGGGCCCATGGTGGCAGCAAAGATATACTTGCAACAGTGAAACAAGGAAGAGCATAGAAGAAGCAACAGGAGAGCCTGGCTGGGCTGCTCTGACTCAACGAGAAGTCAGAGAAAAGGGGGCCTTGGAGACAGATGCGGGGNAGGAGATGCCCTGCCAATTGCTCCCTTGGTTACAAGTCTCATGGGGTCCCCCTGGAGGAAAGAAGGGGGATGGAGATGGAGCTGGAATGCTCCCTGCACTAGGGAGCATATTTATCTTTTTTTGTGGGTGGAAATCTTAGGGGACGTCACAGGGGAGGGTCTCAATGGAATATTCATCAGCTTTCCCAAGTGTGCTCTTTCAGGGTCGTGGTCTCCACTGACTGAGTGGTGGCAGGGCAGGGGGGTCATAAGTCAATGTAGCTGGTCCTAAGGCAGCCACTGCATCACTTGTCTGGTTTTGCTGCTTTTCTGAGTCTGGAGCTGAAATACAACTGAAGCTTAGATGTTATCTTTAGGGAGGAAAAGGCCAGGGGGTGTAAACCTCATGACCAGCAATTTGCTGGGGGAGGACAGGTTACCCTGGGGACAAGGCTCTTGTTTTCCCAGTTTTGCACCTTGCTAGGCATCGGGACTTTCTGCCCTGGTGAGTCTCTGAACCTCGCCCATCATCTGTGCTCTGCTCATGTCTGTCTAACACTTACCATTTGCTTCTTCAAGTTTTGTTTTGTGTTTTTTCTCTTCAGACTGTTAGATGGCACACTTGGGTATCTTGGAGCATCTTGCCAAAGACTTTCTTTGTAACTAGTAATATGGAGTCAATGTTTTCATTCCTTTGACAAGAATCAAAGAATGGGTGCCTTTGATAATGTTCCTTTAGGCAAGGGGAAGCAATGGTTAAGATTATGTCTAGGGTAATCTTTATGTTTGGTCCCTAGTTAGATGTGGGGACCCTTTAAAGTTAAAATGCCCCAGGATGATCTCAGTTCTTAGACTTACAAGAAATTGCATATTGAACCCAAATTTTTACCTTCTCTGTATCAATGACTTTGCTTTATTATTTTACTGATCCAAGTTATATGACTTGATTAGGCCAGCAGCATAAGGAGGAAATGATGCTGTGCCAGCTCTGGGCCTAGACCTCAAAAGGCCTTATATACTTCTGCTTTCTTTTCTGTGCCTTTGAAATTGCCAGGGCTCCCCCCTACCCCCTGCCACACACACACACCACCTGCCCCCCAAACAAAAACAAAAACAAAAAAAACAAAAAAAAACAAAAAAAATATGCCTGGACTAGTCCTCAGGTTCTAAGATAAGGATTAGAGTCACTTGGAGCAGAGCCAAATGACCCCAGTCAAGCCCAACCACGATTAGCAAATCTTCATCCAACCACAGACCCGTGAGAATACATGATTATTGTTTTAAAAAACTATATTTAGAGTTGTTCATTCTACAGTATTTTTGAAGCAACAGATCTCTATCTATAGATCTCTATTAATTTATTCTAATTCTTAAAAACATTTATATACTCTGAAGACTCCCAAATTTATATCTCCCCCCCGGAACTCACCCATGAACTCTTGGCTCATATTTCCAACTGACTACCACTTGGGTGTCTAAAAGATACTTCAAAATTACCTTGCCCCAAACTGAATTCTTGATTTCCCTCTGAAACTTACTCATCCTATAGTCATCCCATTGAAGTTCATGGCAACTCCATCTTTCCAGTGGTTTGAGGCAAAATCCTTGGATTGTCCTTGTCTCTCTTTCTTTCTCTCACACCTTGTACACAATCCATCAGCATTCTTTTGACTTTAATTTCAACATGTATTCAAATCTGACCACATCTTTCCTTCTCTACTACTGAAGCCCTGGTCCATAGGTTAATGCAATAACTCCTAACAGGTCTCTGTGGTTCCACCTTTATCTCTCTACAGTTTATTCTCCCCAGAGCAGCCCAAGCACTTCTTTTAAATCCAAGTAATGAAAGCAATTTGTTTGTTGAGAGAACTGGGTCATTTATCTGATAGAACTTTCCACATTCTCAGATTTTGCTAATTGCATCCCCATGGTCTTGGCTGACTTAAATGGTATACACAATACCAGAATCATCTGTAAAAAGTGAAAACACTTGCTGATTGAAGAAAATAGGCACTATTTAAAGTGACTAAAACTTTTCGCTAACTCAATGGAAAATATCGGGTATGTGGTAAAAATTTTTTTCCACAAGTTAGATCTTAGAATAATTCTTCAATAAATGTGTTGTCTGCTCTTCCCATTCATATTTTTAAATTCCAGCATTTTTATTCTTGCATTCATTAAAAATAGTTCATTAAGGTAAGTATTATGCAT